AATCAATAGATTTTATTTATTTAAATTAATATTCAATTATATGCATAACAGGTCCATTAGTTACACATGAATATATTTGTCTTATTCCATAGGATCCTGCATGAACAACATTATCTTTATTTTGACTACATAATTCACGTAAATTTGAAACAAGTCTATCATAATATTCAAGACCAATATCTTTATTTATATTATTATGATATTGAAAACGACGTGCATTAAGACGACCACCTAATGTTGCTTGTGAAATGATTAAAAGATCGCCAGGTAGATCAACAATTGTTTTTAATCCATCGTCACTTTCACATAGCTTGACTGTAGCACTATCTTTTGCTAAATTTTCAAATGAAATAATAAATATATTTATTTTTCTGTTTTTCTTCATACCTAATTTATCTACATCATCCAACTGAGCATTTTTCAAAAAAAAGCCACAAATACGATCATTCCACGATTTATCTTTAATTAATAAATCAATCGTTTTTTTTATACATTGGCATGGTTTTTCAATTCAATTAACTTACAGTAACTTCTAATTCATCTTGAAGACGTAATGTAGCTTTCGTACATTGTTGTAATAAACAACGAACTCGTATAGTTGACATCAATCAAGAAAAAATAAATGAATATCTATTTATTTATTTCGCTTTTCTGTGGGAATCTTTATTCAAATACATAATAAGTGGGAAACAAATACACTGTTTAAAGTTTTTCAATTAAAATATTTGATGCACCACCAACACCATTACATACACCAGCAACACCTTTTTGACCAGACTTTAAACTATGACATAAATGCACGACAATTCTTGCACCAGACATGCCAATCTAAAGAAACACAAAAAAAAGAAAAGTAATTATAAAATTGGAATAATTTTTATTATACGAACTGGATGTCCAAGTGCAACGGCACCACCATCTACATTCATTTTATCAATACTAAGACCAAGTATTTTAGCATTAGCTAAAGCAACAGAACTAAATGTCTCATTAAATTCCCATAATGCAATATCATTTTTATCAACTTTGGCAAGCGTTAAAAGCTAGAAGAATTCAAATAAATAGATACATAGAAAAAAAACAACAACAACAAAATAATTTTCTATACCTTTGGAACGGCCAAAGCAGGTGCTATACTGAAATCAACTGGAGCTGTTGCAGCATCAGCAAAAGCTAAAACGAAGAGTTTTAGATTAGTTTTTCAAGGATAGAAATTGTAACAGTGACTTCTGCGACTCTAACTAGTCTAAGCATTTCATATCTATGATAATATATCCTAAATTTACAATAGTCACTGATCTCTTCTATATTATCGTTTTCACGCAAAAAAAATATTTAAAAAACTTTTTACCAATGATTCGAGCTATTGGTTTACAAACAAGTCCATCAGCAGCTTGACGTGTCATTAATAAACAAGCAGCTGCACCATCATTAATTTTTGATGCATTCTTTAACAACAACTTCACCTTTTTTTTGTTGTTACAGTTATAGGAACGATTTCAGCATTGAATTTTCCTTCTTTCCATGCTCTTGCTGTTCGTTCATAAGATAATTTAGCAAAAGCATCTTGATCAGCACGAGTTAAGTTATATTTCTTAGCAGTTTGTTCTGCACACAAACCCTAGAATTATAATTTTCGTTCGAATATAAATGAACAACATCATTGTATGAGATTTACCATTGGAATTCGATCACAAGCATCAACTAAACCATCTTTAGCAATACCATCTTCCATTTGAAGATTTCCATAAGGTATATCTCCTAAAGAAAACAAAACACCAAAGATTAATTTAAATCAAAAGAAAAAAAATAATTTTATTGAAACCTCTTGGAAAATAATATGGTGCATTTGACATGCTTTCCATACCACCGACAATTATAATAGCTTTCATACCACTTGCACATACTTTATTTACTGTTGTACAGAGTATTTCTTGTGTTAAACCTGCATAGAGTGATGCTTGTCGTGCTGGAGCTTGACCAACACCAGCTTGAACAACATAACCCATATAAACTTCTTGGACACGATTAGCAGGTATTTCTATAAAACAACAATTTACATTAAAAATGAATATCAATTTATATTCGTCTTACTTGCACGTTCTAAACATGCTTTTATAGCTGCAGCACCAAGTTTAACGGCTGGTACAGATGCAAGACTTTCACGAAATGAACCAATTGGTGTTCGAACAGCACTCACTATAACTACTTCCTATTTGTAAAATAAATAATTAAACTTCATTTGAAATAAAATAGAAATGTTTACATTGAGATTCGGACTAGTTGATGCAGATCGGTATTGATGAGCAATTGATGAAATCTTATTTAAAATAAATAAGTATAAATTATGAAAATTAAATTAAAAATTTACCGGAGCACATGTTGATGTACAATTTAAGCTCAATAATCGTGAAACTACTGAAGAACTAAGTCGTGAAACCATCTAAAAGAGAATATATATGAATCAATTGATCAAGTTGCCATAAGATTTCTTGTGGATTCTAGATCATAGTCTACACCAGGGTTTGCAATGGAAATCTAAAACAAAATGTATCTGTACATTTTACTTATATAACTAAAGTGTATCCTTACACTTTATTTTCATTACCAAAGTGTATCAAAGTGTATGGATACGGAAGTCAACTTTTTTCAAATATAAAATATAAATTGAAGTATTCGGATCATTCATAACCGAGAAATGTAAGTACATAATCATCCAAAAATAACAAGTACCCATCCTATTTCATTATCTACCGTTTTACAAAAAAATAAGCAAAGAAAAACGCGAGTTTATAGAAAAAAACATACACAAGTTTTATATTGCATAGAGTCGCATCATTATCAGAGATCGAGAAAAAAAGAAGGCATATCTAATTAATGATAAGACCGATCGAAAGATATCACAATTTACTATGGCCTTTCCATTCTATTTAATATAAAACTTCTTAGCACTCTTAATGCATTAATATGAAAGTGTAAATTTATTCTCTACAGTGTACCACGTACACTTTGTTTTTCCAACCAAAGTGTAAAACAGAGTGTACATAAAGAACAACAGATGTTCTGTACATTTTGTTTCTGCTTGGTACACCTGCTATTGCAAACCCTGGTCTACACTTATTGTTGAAAAGTCTATTGGTAATTGAAGAAGACAAATAAATAACTTA